TGGGCCATAGTGGTATAACAATGTTTCTCTGGACTATAGTGGTATAACAATGTTTCTCTGGGCCATAGTGGTATAACAATGTTTCTCTGGAGCATAGTGGTATAACAATGTTTCTCTGGACCATAGTGGTATAACAATGTTTCTCCTGACTATAGTGGTATAACAATGTTTCTCCAGACCATAGTGGTATAACAATGTTTCTCTGCGCCATAGTGGTATAACAAGGTTTCTCCGGACCATAGTGGTATAACAATGTTTCTATGGGCCATAGTGGTATAACAATGTTTCTCTGGGCCATAGTGGTATAACAATGTTTCTATGGTCTATAGAGGTATAACAATGTTTCTATGGGCCATAGTGGTGTAACAATGTTTCTCCTGACCATAGTGGTATAACAATGTTTCTCCGGACCATAGTGGTATAACAATGTTTCTATGGGCCATAGTGGTATAACAATGTTTCTCCAGGCCATAGTGGTATAACAATCTTTCTATGGGCTATAGAGGTATAACAATGTTTCTCCAGGCCATATTTGTATAACAATGTTTCTATGGGCCATAGTTGTCTAACAATGATTCTATGGGCCATAGAGGTATAACAATGTTTCTCTGGATCATAGTGGTATAACAATGTTTCATTAACAGTGACAAGTTGTTCCAAAAAAATCAGAGAAAATGCTGCAGAATCAACTTGGAGATTTTCACTTGATATTCTTTCTGGTTGGCATTCAAACCTTTTGTCACCCACTTGACTATCAGCTTCTACATATCCATTGCTTCTTGGCCTTTTGACCCTGAGAGATGTAAAAATTAGCTATTCAAGTTCAGTCTCAAGTGGTCTATCTTCCCAGGTAATACCTCTTTCTTGAGATGGGGCTCTGGTTATCATCTAGTATTTGAAGTGCCCCCAAATGTTGAAGTGCCAAGCCATTAGATTTTGGACTGTTTTTGGTCTCTGGTCCTATATACTTTCAATCTTAAAACAAACAAGAATCTTAATCTTTGGACCAACAATAACTGTAACTCTAAAACAGTAACCAAAACCTAAACATACCAATGTTTTAAATATTTATCAGTAGATCATAGAATATGCTGAGAAATCAACTTGGAGACATCTATTTGATATCCTTTCTGGTTGGCATTCAAACATTTTGGCACCCACTTGACTGACAGCTACTGCATACTCAAGTGCTTATGAATTATAAACCCAATATATTCCCTTGATATTGTTAATGTCACAGTAATTTGTTTGATTGAGCCTTATTGATTGGCTAAAAATATAAACAATTCCAGGAGTTGGCACCATTTAAAGCTTTTCAGATGATGCTGTATCTTGGGTATCAAAATCTCCATACTGGAAATTGGCACACTAATTCTTTTTTGTTGAGTATGACAGGCACTTGTCTTGCAATGCTTGCATCATACACTTATGGATTTCTGTTGGAGCAGGAAACTGATGATGGTCCAGTGATAACCAGGTGAAAATGTTACGCTTTCTATTGATATGTCAATGATTTGAAACCAATTTAGAAATAAGTGTAAGATTTATGCAAATTGGCACTTTACAATATAAAAAAAAACACTCTTTTCAGCTACAGTTAAAAAAATGTTACTCAGTTTTGGGGAAGAGGGGCAGGCTGAGAACTTTTCAGCACCCTCACATAAGAGACATTTTAACTCATAAAACCATTATTGATAGTAATTTTTTTTTATTGTTTCTACAAAACAAAGCAAATTGGATTTTTTTTATTGAATTTTTATCACAAAAAAATCAGGATAATCTTTTTATGAAAAATATCTTTACAGGCATCACTTTTTAATTCAAGGTTTTCCAACTCTGAAGCATTATGCTTAGACTAGAAGCACTCATAAAAATTTCAGTTTTCCTATTTGAAGTTAATGATTGAATAAACTCATGGTGAGTTCTATGACAATTAAATATCTGTAGCAATTCCCCTATCGCATTGTTAAATATTTGAGATTAACAAATTTCACAAAATATTGCAATAACAATCATAAATATGAATGCAGGTCATTATTTTAAGAAGAGGGTAAAAATGAAAAGATTTGAAATTGTAAACTTTTTCCATTTCTCTGAAACAAACGTTAAATACTTCCACCTTCTCTTCTTTGTTTCTTGTATTTCCTCATTGAAACCAAGTAGCGTCTCTAATATGTCTTTTCAGCCTTTCCACTCAATCAAAACAAAATAGTCCTTTATTTATGAGTTATTGGCAGGAGATGTTAAACACTTCTATCTTCGCTTCTTGCTTTCTTTGATTCTCTCACTGAAACCAAGTAGCGTCTCTGATATGTCTTTTCCGTTGTTCCACTTGATCAAAACGGAATAGTTCATTATTTATGAGGTATTGGCATGGTATAATGGTCACACTGAAGAAGGAACAAGCAGAATTATAATAAAATAATAAAAATCCAATAAATTTCAATAGAAATATTTGAATTAAATTTCTTATTTCAATATCTATTTATAACAAAAGCACATTAACACAAACTTTGTTGTCGCATCTTTGTGGTTTTAAAAAATAATTTTAAGAATAAAAGCGTTATTGCTTTTGCTATATTGATATTTTGTTTTTTTCTCTTCACTCAATTTTTATGTCCACAAATCCTAGTCATCTATAGTTTGAGTCAAATCATTTCTACATTATTGCCAATAGTCACTTATTAAATCTCTGACCTGATGTTATATTCCCCACAGCTGTGTTTTCCCCCATTGTTATACTTTGGATGGTACAGGTGAATTCCAAGTACTTTGGAGTCACTACCAAAAATCTTTCGTCCTGGGTATGACGATAAACTACATCCAACAACAAGACCTCTGATTGGGAGATTTTCTGGAGCATAGAACCACCTCTTAATTGCTGTTGTTCCCCGGTCCACCCTAATCCTGGGTGGTAGCACCTGTTAGGGTCCCAGCTATTGATAAATAATGAATTCCTGAACAAAAATTAGTACATTTTTATAAAAAAATGACCCACAATACATTTTTATAGCAAAATGACAATCAGTGCAATACTAAAAAATACAAAAATACATTTTTATAGTAAAATTACCAACAATACATTTTATGATCTATAATCTATATATCTAAAAAAACATACCTTTACTCAAAGTAAAAAACTCTGTACAAAATATATTCAGTTGAAGCCATAAACTTGTATTCAAAATATTTGGATTTCAGCATTAAATAACCCATAGAGGTGTTGATATACTGCTAAACAAAATCAACAAACTAATGTAACTCTCTTTACAAAAATCTGTCAATGAAACCTGATCTACAAACTAATTTCTTACAAAGAATACATATTCTCTTCATACAAACCTATTCTAAAAATCTTGTCAAAAAATATTATTTAAAAATCTAAAAAGTGGGCAATATTTAACCTTTGTGTCCACAAAAAAACAATCAAAATAAAAATATGGTGTGTCAAAAAAAAATGCTTTGTCAAAATGATGGTTATTCCCTTGACTGTATACACTATTACTGTATACACTTTTGATTCCCTCAGCAATTTTTGTTTTTAAAAAGCAATGATTAGAATTTTAGTATATGAAACACTATTTATTTATTAGTTTGAATAAAAAAATTTGTTTTCATAGTTATTTATAAAATGGTAAATAATAAATATTGAAGTGTAGTTGGTTTACATATTTTGATAATTTTGTAAGAAAGGTTTATTCTCTCATTTGTATTTCCCCCATTATGGGCATTATTATATCTGTGATATAATAACACTGTATTTCACAGATGGAATGGAATGGCTGAAAGGAAAAGGAATGACAAACATGTTTTGTTATCAGAGAGAGTTTTATACCACTGACATATACAAAACTATATATACATATAGTCCCATGCAGAGAAAAATACATCATATATCTACATAGAAAGCAGAGTAAAAGAAGAATGAAAAGATAGGGTCTCGCATATAATATGGAAATTCTTCTGTGTTTCTGGAGAAACTGCTTCAAATGGGCTGGATTCATCTACTATGTTCTAGGCAAGGACATATTCCATGAACTGGAAATGGTGAGTTTTGAGTTTTCCCAAATTGAGGACTGCGAGTTGGAGTTTCTTTCTATATTTGGGGAAGATATATTCCCAAAGGGAAATGGTTCTATGTGCTTCTAATCTGCTGGTTGAGTGGGGGAACAGATTTAGCCTCAGCCCAAGCTGAAGTCTGCTTTGTTTGGCTCCGAGTAAACCAAATGAATGACTGACCACTTTCATTACTGTATGAAGTGACATCACTAAGCAGCCATAACAAGACCAACATGGCTATCTCAACCAAAGGGAGATAATCACCTTTTATATTCCAACACAAGTATAATGAAATACTTGTTCTACTATTCATTTATATATTTATAAATAATGAATTAAAGACTTGTTTTCATAGTTATTTATAAAATGGTAAATAGTAAATATTGCATTGTAGTTGGTTTATATATTTTGATAATAATGTAATTTTTTATAAACTTTTGAACAAAAAGATTTCTTTTCAAGTTTATTTCTTTATAAAATTTTTACCATTTTATAATGAATAATAAAAGGTAAATAAAAAATATTGCATAGTACTTGGTTCACATATTTTTATAATCTTGTAAATAAATATTGCTGAGGGAGTCAAAAGTGTGTACAGTAATAATGGTGCCAAATAACCTTTTTAATACAGTTTTTTTGTGGACAGGAAGGTTAAACATTGATTTATTGATTGATTTGTTTTCTATGGCTTATCAATACTTTGCATGTTATTTAAAGTCAGAAAATATTTTTACATTGTAAGAATTTATTTTTTTAAGATAATAATGGTTTAGTGATACAAGTCTTACTAATTAACCCATGGTTGGGGGGGAAGAGGTGGATTCATACTTTTCCCAAGAATATTTGCACATAAGTAAATATAACAAACTCAACAGGAATTGGAACTCAGCTCTCTAATTAACAAGTCTGAGTCATTATTCATTACACCACCTGCACATCCAAGCACCTGGTATTTCCAAGTGGTCACCCATCTAGGTACTGACCAGGCTTGATGTTGCTTAAATTCCATGATTATACGGGAACCAGTGTTTCAACATGATGTGGCCATGAACTGTTAAACATTGCCAAAATGATTATGTTGAATGAGGTGTGTAATATGAAAAAGCTTGTAAGAAGTGAAGATTATGAGGATAAGAAGGATAAATAATGATTGGCCTTTTATTTAAAGAGGTTATGATTGTAACATTCAAGAAAGGATTCAAGCGGGAGTCTGTTCCACAAATAGTTCTTGAGAAAAGGCTGTTTGAGTGAAACTGTCTTCTTACATTTGGAATATCGAGGAAATGGGAGTGATTCGACTCCATGGAAGTAGAATGGTGGCCTAACTGTAAAAGTCTGAATTGATGGAATTAAAAAGTAGAAAGTATGTAATGTTCAATCGTGGTGCTTTATGTCCTCTTGAATCTTTTTCAGGATTTTTGGTCAGTAAATATCTATGGAAAGATAAAAGTGAAACAACCAAAGTGAAGTTGTTACAATTTCATATTTAATCTCTTAGGCAGTTTTTAAGGTGTTTTAATCAGTGCATATTGTGACATAGTTGTCTATAAGTGGGTATCACCAATTTTCAACATGGAAATTTGACACCTGAATAAATGAACTATGATACCTGTATAAAACATAATTTTATGGTCAATTTTTTCAGTTAATTAAAAGTAGAAAGAATAGAAAAATTCTGATATAATTATTTCTATTTTTTAAAAATTGGAAATATTTGTATTTTAAAAATATTTTTTACTTTGTGTAAACACTATCACCATAAAATATTTTTATGACCCCCAAAATTACATGTCAATGTCAAAAATTACATGCCAATTGCACATTTAATTATTGGATTTTAATAAAACTTGTGATTTATGCAAAAGAGAATGTAGATATTTTTAAAGCAGTCTCTTTTCCAAATTTGAAAGAAATTTTGTTTTTTTCATATGATTGTACAGCCTAATTTTTAATTTGATGATTTTCAATTTTGTATTGATGTATACAAGATTGAGGTTTACACTTTTTAAAGATAATTAATTGAAAAATAAATATTGAAAAAATTAAAAATTGGAATTCTGGGTCCTGATTTTTGGGTACCTTAGTCTGAAATTAAAAAAAAATACAATATTAGCTTTTTTGAACATTTTTTTTTAAATTTATATTTGAGGTTTATTGTCTGTAAAAAAAAAAATTTTCTTTGATTTTTTTTTTCTATAATATTGATTTAATATTTTAATATATTTTAAAATCTTTATTTATTCTTTCAAAAAGCATATTGCTCCAGGGTTTTATTCTAAAAACTTTGATGTCTTTTAATAAATAAATATACAAATATATTGGGAAAATATTCTCTCTAATTATTCTTAAAATAATTTAAAATAATATTATATGACTGTTGATGGGATATTATTATTAGCTACAGGAGCACAGAATTGTAACCATTTCTGCTTTTAAGTTGTCATCATTATTACACTACCTACATTGTAGCTAAGACATTGATTGAAAGAACAAATAAATGTATGTCTTCTACATTACTTTCAAAAGAAATTTCTACAGAATTTGTCAAAGAATTAACAAATATGTTATAAAATAATAATTCTGCTTGTCTCTTCCTTAGTTCCTTAGTACATTACACCCTGTCAATACCTCAAAAATAATGGACTATTCTGTTTTGATTCATGTTAAGATGGAAATGACACTACTTGGTTTAAGTGAGAAAATGAAAGAAATAAAGGAAGGTAGAAAAGGTGATAACACTCTCATGTGTTTAATGTCTGATTCAGTGAAATGAAAAAGTTTCAAATCTTTTCATTTGTACCTTCTTACTTCTTAAAATAATGACCAGCATTCATATTTATGATTGTTATTGCAATATTTTATTAAAGTTGTTAAGTTTGAATATTTAACAATGTGATGGGGGAATTTCTAAAGATATTTTATAGTTGTAGAACTTGCTGTGAACTTATTCAATAATTAACTTATGAATTAAAATTAATCTTTTTTACTTTTTTTTAACTTTAATCAATAATTTTTATCAAGGTGATAATGCCACTAAGACACAAAGGGCTACTGAGAGTGAAAGAGAATGAAAACACTTTAGAAGGAATCTGAAACCCAATCCTAGACAGGAAACAAGGAATAAACATCTACTTCTTTTTAAATAACTAGGGAGAAGTTTGAACCAGACAACAGATGAGCCTATGATTCATATAGGAAAAATGTGAAATTTTCATGGATATTTCTAGTAAGGTACAGTGTAACCCGGATATAAGAGACTCGGATATAAGAGAAACCCGGATATAAGAGATATTTTCTCTGGTCCCAAATTAGAGCTTGTGTTAAAGTATATAAAATAGATCAAACCCAGATATAAGAGAAAGCCGGATATAAGAGACTTCTTCTCCGGTCCCGACAACTCTCTTATATCCAGGTTACACTGTAATAATATACATAGGGATATACAGGGTGCAATTGGTAAATTGTTGCCATTTTATATTTTTAATTTCATGAATGCACATTGTTTTTGATTTTGTCAACTGCACAGTATTGTAGGGTCAGTTGGGAACCATCTGTGAGAAAAAGAGCATCATGACACAATTCACTCTGCCAGAAATTTGGAAACAGTATGCTGTACTACTTGGCATCCATGTCAGAAACTCCAATACAAACATTTCAGAGTGTTTAGGTGTCAATCTGAGGACAGTGCAGAGGATTCTGAAAGAGTTGGATGATATATGGTCAGTCAACATCATGGTGTTTGGAGTGATCACTAGTGAAGGTGACATTATTCCTCCATTCATCTTCCCACATGGCCTCAGACTCAACATGGAAGCCTACATCAATTGCCTTGAAGAGGTAGTGCTGTCTAGGGCCAAGAGGGTGGCTGCTGGAAGACCCTATGTCTGGCAAAAGGACTCTGTACCATGCCACACAAATAGGAGAACCCAGTCATAGCTGTCAGACATCACTCCTTACATCTGGCCAACTAACTCTCCAGACTGTAACCCCCTTGATTATTATGCACGAGGCACAGTTGAGCAAGAGACCAACAAAACTCCTTGTAACACCAAAGATAAAATGAAGGCAAGGATTAAGGCAGCATTCACCAATTTAAACAAGGAGACCGTCCAGAAGAGTTGCAGGAGATTTCAAAGTTGTTTGGAAGTTGTGGTTGAAGCCAATGGCGATTTGATTGAATAAGTTTACTCTGTAGTATTTCAAGATATTTTTGTGTAATTTTGGTAAATATATATGTTAAAATGAGATGTCAGTGTTATTTTTGCCTAATTTAGATGACAATTTATTCAATGCACCCTGTATATCAAATATGGAATTTAGGTAATTACAATGTACAGTTTAATGGACAAATCTTAAATTTTCCTAATAATAATTATAAAATGCTTTATTTTGCAGACGATGAAGATGATGAGGACTCCATATCAAAATGTGATCCAGAAGTAGATTTTTTAAATAAGGATTTATCTTTTTTAGATTAAACTATAATAAATAGTGCATTAATTTCTCATGTCTTCATGCAAACCAGTGAAATATTATGCACTCGACTTCCATTTTTTCGGATTTCTCCAATACTTCACATGTGTGTAAGCAATAACTTTTTTCTTTTTATTTTAAAAATAAAATAGTTTACTTCCTAAATTTTTTTTGTGAAAATTTTATTTCTTTAGATAACATAATACAATGTAACCCGGATATAAGAAAGTTGTTGGGACCGGAGAAGAAGTCTCTTATATCCGGGTTTGGTCTATTTTATATACATTAACACAGGCTCTAATTTGGGACCAGAGAAAATCTCTCTTATATCCAGGTTTCACTTATATCCGGGTCTTTTATATCCGGGTTACACTGTAAACATATTTGCAAAAAATATTTTATTTCTTGAGACCAAAAATAAGTGAATGTATTGGCATTTTTTTTTACATTCCTATAATCAACATTTCATATGACAGAATGTGTTCCAAAATTAACTTTTTAAAAGTAATGATTGTTCTATTTCAAAATATTTGGTGATCAACAACAAAAGAAAATTACAAAAATATAATTAGTCCACAAAAATGAAATACTGATTTTTATCATGAGCCACCATGCTTACAAACAAGCAATTCAGTTTAGAGAGCTATCAACATGAATTTGTCAGTCATCAACAGGTAATACAAATATCACCTCACGCACCAAAATTGACCTTTGATTCATGTAGATTGATGCAAGCCACTCATGTTATAAACATACATTTTTTTCATGTTTTTAAATAAAATTTGGGAATTTTTTGATATAATTAAACTGAATACAAATTAAAGTATCATATATTTAACTGTATAAATCAACCTTTAAATCCCCCAAATCACCCTTAAAAATTGGGGGTCATCCTATACTACAATTCTAAAAAAGAAACCTTAAATTCTGAGTGATGTTTGTTGGTAGGCTAACCTCTGCCTTGGTGCAATAACCAATAATGTACGCAAAAAGATTCACATTATCAAATAAACTGATAATAAAAGTAATAAAACCATTTCTACCTTATATATAGCTGACATAACTTCATAATAAATTGCCTATTTAAAGAATAATTCCAAATCAATGAAATCAACTTGTATCCATTCAAACTCAGCTGAGAAAATGTAAACATCAAGTTTTGATTGCATTCGCAGCAACCTTTTATTTTTCACTAAACTTTTAATAATGAATAATAAACTGAATAAAAAAAATGTTGAAAGTGGTATGTACTATTATACTGTTATTAGTGGTATTTTGTGATTGTCAATGAAGTATAAGTAAATGGCCCTTAGTACACCAGGTTGTTTGTAACTGTTTAGATATAGGAAAAGAAGAGGAAGAAGAAAAAGAATCAGTATTTGCAAGAGATTGTGATGGAATGTAAACAAAACAATGGTTTTCCTTTTAGGGGATGTGTGTAAGAAAAACATAATATAGAATCGGTTTTGTTCATTTGTTTATTTTGAATTTCTAGGGATACAGTAACATTTCCAATAATATCATCTTTATATAATCAATAAGCATACATCTTTTACTACAGATATAGGATAAAT